ACAAGAGAGAACTTTGATTGTCTTATCCTAGAAGGGATTTCGTGTAACCCAAGGCTTGAGAAGGGTCGAAATACTCTTTAAGGAAAGTGCTCACGTGCGCGATTCAATCATTTTTCAAGTTCACATTCGTTACGTCCCGGAGTTACAACGCCTATACACAACAATCTTAAAGAGTATTTTTGGTGAACAATGGCTAATGTTTCTGTGCGTGAGATGACATCAAAGTTTGGCAAATTGGATAAGTTTGAAGAAGTTGATTTTAGAAGATGGCAAAAGAAGATGCACTTTCTCCTCACAACGCTCAATATGGTGCACGTTCTAAGTGTGCCAATCCCACCGTGTCGGAAAATGGTGAGAACGAGTCCGTGGAGGAGACAAGGAAGCAACTTAAGTGGGTGTAAAGCTGTGAAAATGTGTCGGAGATTACGATCTCCGGACGTGCGGATGATCTAAGGGCTAGAATATTGTGGGGTGTTTGATTAGTACGTTGATCGGCTTAGTCATTCATGAGCATATTCATATCGTGCATACTTTGTATGGAGTAACGGTTTGGTTGAGACGGGGATGCGGCTCGGCAAGGAATCGGCGGATCCTTAAGGATCTAACGTTTCTAGGCCGAACTGATGCGCTTACTTCCTCTCTCCGATTCGTTTTCCGGACCAAAGGATAATAAGGTTATTAATTGGTTTAACATCCATTCATAACCTTGTGATCCACCAAATGGATGTCAAGACGGCATTCTTAAATGGCGTCTTAGAAGAAGAGGTGTATATGAAACAACCGAAGGGTTTGTTATGCCTGGTAATGAGCATAAGGTGTGTAAGTTGGTAAAGTCATTATATGGTCTAAAGCAAGCACCTAAACAGTGGCATCAAAGGTTTGACGAGGCTGTCATGTCAAATGGGTTTGAATTAAATCAGTCGGACAAGTGTTTGTATAGCAAATTTGATGATTCCGGTAATGGAGTGATCATTTGTTTATATGTTGATGACATGTTGAATTTTGGCACCAACCTTAGACAAGTAGAACTTACAAAAGAGTTCTTGTCATCAAATTTTGCCATGAAAGACATGGGGGAGGCGGAGGTGATTCTTGGAATTCGAATCAAGCGTGAGAACAAAGGAATATCCTTAACTCAATCACATTACATTGAGAAGGTGCTTAAAAAGTTCAATTATGAAAATGGTTCTCCCGTGAGCACTCCCATGGATGCGAGCGTGAAGCTTATGCCTAATACGGGACAAGCGGTATCACAACTCGAGTACTCACGAGTAATTGGTTGCTTAATGTATGCCATGACTAGCACTAGACCGGATATAGCTTATGCAGTAGGAAAGTTGAGTAGATACACTAGTAATCCTAGTACTCATCATTGGCAAGCTATAAGGCGGGTGCTCAAGTACTTGAAAGGAACCATAAATTATGGTTTGTCATATTTTGGATTTCCTTCGGTCTTAGAAGGATATTCGGATGCAAGTTGGAACACCAACGAGGAAAATCATTCCTCTACAAGTGGTTGGGTGTTCCTACTTGGGGGAGGTGCCATTTCATGGGCATCAAAGAAACAAACTTGTATTACAAACTCTACTATGGAATCGGAATTTGTAGCGTTGGCGGCTGCGGGGAGAGAGACTGAATGGTTAAGACAATTAGTCTCCGAGATTCCATTGTGGCCGAAACCGGTGTCACCCATTTCTATCCATTGCGATAGTCAAGCTACTTTGGCTAAGGCGTATAGCCAAGTGTATAATGGTAAGTCGCGACACCTAGGCTTGAGACATAGCGGGATACGTGAGTTGATCACTCATGGGGTGATTACTATAGAGTTTATTCGGTCTCAGCAAAATCTAGCGGATCACTTGACAAAAGGACTAGCTAGAGACTTGGTGATCAAGTCGGCTAAAGGGATGGGATTAAAGTCCATTTGAAATCTCTAATGGTGGGATACCCAATTCCCCTCTAATACAATGTTAGAGGCTGAATTCAATGCGGAAAGCCCACACTTAGAGATTGAAGCACTGATTTATATCATCCCAAAGTAAGTGCTTAGATCTGCAAGAAAAGGTTAGGTTGAAGTTTTCTTCTTAATAGATCTTTTGAAAAATTGCATTTTGCAGGTGCAAGATTAAAAGATCTACCTATATGAGTGTGAAGTGTAGCCGCTTCAAGAAGCTTGGACTTGGCTTTGTATACGCTCATGAATGGATAAGGACACATGGCTTATAATAGTGTCAAGGATATACACTTAGAGTAGTGAGTGAATTCGTGTGTGTATTATCTTCATGTGCTCAAAATGAGTTGAAGGATTCAATCCGTAGGACATCCTGATTCTCGAGCATTTGGAATGTGTAATATCACTAAGATGTAAATTCAATCGTTACAATATTTACATTTATGCATGAGTTTGGTTTACGTGTTGTTAATTTTGTGAATCAAAGATTACACTTAAATGGGGGAGGAATGTTGGATATTTAAGTGTACGTGATATTTAAGTGTACGTACATCGTCGGTTATTCATGAATGTTGGATATTTAAGTGTACGTACATCGACAGTTAGTGTACGTACATCGACGGTTATTCACCAACCATCGCACCTTTTTGTACAAAAGGTTATTATATTAAACGTACGGTTGCAAACGTATGTGAACACCGTTGATCACTATAAAACTCTGTTTCTCTTGTGTCAAAACAGAGAGTGAAGGACAGAGCACGAGAGTTTCACAAGATCAAAGATTGAAAGAATCTTTGGTGATAAACACATAAACAAAACACAAATCTCTATTTGTTTCTCTTGTATCTTAGCCTAGAACAAGAGAGAACTTTGATTGTCTTATCCTAGAAGGGATTTCGTGTAACCCAAGGCTTGAGAAGGGTCGAAATACTCTTTAAGGAAAGTGCTCACGTGCGTGATTCAATCATTTTTCAAGTTCACATTCGTTACGTCCCGGAGTTACAACGCCTATACACAACAAGTCGCACAAGAACGATTGAGATATAGGAATGTGTTTCTCGTTCTTGATGATGTCGATCAGTTAGCACAACTAGAAGCCTTAGCAAAAAATGTTCAATGGTTTGGTCCTAGAAGTCGGATTATCATCACAACAGAAGATCGAAGACTTTTGAACGCACATGGGATCGACCATATATACACGGTGAATTTTCCATCAAAGAAAGAGGCTCTTCAAATGTTCTGCATGTATGCTTTTGGTCAAAAGTCTCCTAAAGACGGTTTTTATGAACTTGCTTGTGAAATTACATATCTTGTCGGTGAACTTCCTTTAGGACTAAAGGTTATTGGATCCCACTTTCGAAGATTGTCCAAGGAGCAGTGGTCAATGGAAGTATCAAGGTTAAGGAATAACCTTGATGGAGAAATAGAGAGCCGGTTGAAGTTCAGTTATGATGCTTTATGTGATGAAGATAAAGATTTATTCCTTCATATAGCTTGCTTTTTCAATGGGGAAAAGACAAAGATATTAGAAGAACTGATTGGCCAAAGATTCAAGGATTTGAGTCAAAGGCTTTACGTTTTAGAGGAGAAATCTCTCATATCTATTGAAAAAATTGTTGACTATGAGTATATAGAGATGCATAATTTGATGGCCCAACTAGGTAAAGGAATCGTCCGTAAAGAATTTCGTGAGCCTGGGCAACGCCAATTTTTGGTTGATTATAAAGATACTCCCTCCGTTTTCGAATAGTTGTCGTTTTAGAGAAATTTTTTTGTTTTTAATTAGTTGTCGTTTTCAGTTTTCGATGCAAAATTTATTACTTTTTTATTTTTTATATTTATTTTTATTATGCAACTTGATTTACTATTGGTTAAATTATGTTTAGGTAGATAATTAATGATATTTTTATATTAAAAAACTAACAACATTAATAGTTTCTTAATTTGTGTGCATATAGTTAAAACGACAACTATTCGAAAACGGAGGGAGTATTTGTGAAGTAGTCTCAACAGTAAGTTTTTCCATTATTCTTTCATTGCACTGCTCATCATAACTGGAGTTTATTTTATCATCTCTACTTATCTTTGGGTCTTTTTTCTCAGAATACTGGAAGTGTTGTAGGCATAAACTCCAATTATGGGTTAAATATAACTGAGAAAGCCTTTGAAGGAATGCCTAATCTCCAGTTCTTAAGAGTCGGATACAATCCTGATCATCCAAACATTATATATATCTTCTTCGGGACCTCTGACTTTTATATCTCCGAAGCTAAGATTAATAGATTGGTGGTAAATTCCGATGACATCTTTCCCTTTTATTAATAATCTGGAATTCCTTGTCGAATTAAGTATGCCTCACAGCAAACTTGAGAAGCTGTGGGACGGAATCAAAGTAAGTCATTTAAATTTCTTTATTGTTTTAAATTTTAGTTTTGTATATAGAATATCCTCTCTTGTACATTAAATTAACTTGAAAGATTATATTTTACTTGCCACTTCGTTTCTAGCATGAAAATGTATATTTTTTAATTTTATGTGTTCAATTGCTAAGTGTATCAAAGTAATTGTGTATTTTGTCATTATTTTCCTTTACAGTTGCTTCCGAATCTCAAGCGTATGGATTTGTCATATTCCAAAAACCTAAAAGAGCTTCCTAATCTCTCAATGGCCTAAGCGTATGTATGGATTTGTCATAGTCTTCAGAGATTAATTCTTTTTGGATGTTCAAGTCTGGTGGAGTTCCCTTCTTCTATTTGGAATTTAACTAATCTCTCCAGATTAGCACTTGAAGGATGTTCACATCTGGTGGAGCTCCCTTCTTCTATTGGAGTTCCGTAACAGTGAAGTTGAATCAAAAGCCTCTTCCTACATCAACCAAATTTAAGGCTTGCATCTTATTTGGTAACCAAGTTTAGATGTCATGCTAAAAAGCAGATTAAACATATAAATAAGTGATCAAGAATGAAATCAATAAAAAGAAAGACAAATACCTTGCGCATTAGCAGCAGGAGGACTAGCAGGAGACACTGCAACCAAAACAAAACAAAATCTCTATTAATCTGATTTATCGTAAGGATCATAATCCATAAAAATCAAGAAGAAAAACAGAGAGATGAAGGAGAAATCTAACATGCACCACAAGCTGACGCCGGAGGAGCATTAACTTTACAAGCAACGGGAAGAGTAGTAGCCTTAGTAACGTTAAGTTTGATTCCGTAAGAGGCACTGTTCTTCAACCCCTCGCATAGACATTCCGGTTTCGTATCGAGAATATTCTTGAGACTGGAGCAGCACGAACTTGAGGGTGTATCCACCGTACTCCCGATCGTTATAAATGATACACATGGTAACAGGGTAACAACAAGGGTGGTGCACTCGTCGGCTGGTACAATGTTTCCATGAACATAAGGAGAGGAAACAGAGAGGACGAGGAGGAGAAGAGATGTCGCGGCGGGGAAGAAAGCCATTGTTTTGATTCTCTGTTTTGGTTACTGCTTAAGAATCTAGGGAGGAGAAAATGAGAATTGTGGTAGAATGAGTGAAATGTGGTGTGTTTAAATATGGGTTTGAGTGATAGAGACGACGTCGTTTTGGTGTACACGTCATGTGTAACTTGTAATTTTTTGGTTCTTTCAGTGTAAGATTCTGCTCATTTTTATTTGGATTTTATCCTATATTAAGAGCTTTTTATCATAGAAATTAAAGTTGTTACCAAAATGATTAGATTTGTTAGAAGAATACAGAAGAAAAAAAAAGTAGAAAAATAAAAATGTAATTTCTAAAAACGTTGGTGAAAAAAATGAAAAATTCTTAAAACGCTTTTCTTAAAGTAGAAGGATTTGTATTCATACTTTGCTTAATTTGCTGTATGTACTTCTTAGATTTTGGTTTTTTTCCTACTGTAACCTTCTGTCAAAATCTATAAATGGTATAAAACTTAACATTCATACCAAAAAAAACAAAAGTTTTTATGCTAAGATTTTTTATTTTTTAAAAGTTAAAGTTGCTAAGATTTTCCTTTTAACTGTCTTGGGTTTATATGGTGAAAGACTAATTAATTGAATATAGTAACCAAATTTTATTATTTTGCATACAATTATTCAGTGGGTCAGTTTCTCATTGTATTGGAGATTTTAAGAGATTGTTTCGGTTTACCCAAGAAAAAAAAAAGAGATTGGTTCAAACTTCAAACCTGCGTGTTGTTGTTGAAAGTTAAACAAAAGTCTTTTTTTTCATTCTTTCTCAATGTCAAAACTATGAGTTCTTTCGAATAAAAGAATGAAACCAAAATTAATATAACAAAAATAGTTAAAGAATATCAAATATTTTCGATCTCTTTCAAGATTTGAATAATCAGCTTTTCTTGATTCAGTATTACTTAATTAGTCCTGAAATATAGTTTTACTGAATGTATAACGATTGCTTATAACTTTGTGATACGGGTTTGAATATGTTTGTGTAACGTCAAAGTAAGAAGATAGCAAAAGTTAAGATGGTTATGAGTCTTTTAGAGTATGTTGTGTGGCTTCAGCTTCTCGTTTATGTTCTCCGTATGACTAAGGACATGCTATTATTCTATATGAAATGACTTTATTTTGTAGGTGAAGTATTACTACAATTGGCCTCTTGAAATTCTATTATCATTTGGCCTCTCAAGTTTCACAATTCTTGATTTTGCTAATATGGGCGCGATTACAACGGACAAATAAATTCAAAAATTTGCGATGGACTTGGCCTATGTGGATGCGGTTGATTTTCTGTGGAGGTATTGTCTCTATTTTTTCCTGTGAGTTTAATAACCAAAATTAATTTCCTGACAAGAAGTTTCAACCCCTAATCGTATGCTGACATGTTAGTTGAGATAGTTTAAGTTAGCTTTCATTTTAGGAACAATGAAGTTGCTATAGATATCTCAAAGAAACGTATAGGAGCTAGAATCGATCTGGATGCTGAGTAGATCTGCCAGACAATTCAGTAAGTTTATTGGAGGGATTTCAACTCCTTCTAGATGAAAATGACAAGAAATTTCTATGTTGGTATGAAGTCTCATAGTATAAACAGAGGACTCTGTTTCGTACACGAATATTTGTCTAAATTCTATAATAGCCTTCATATACTGCATATTTTTTCTGACAAAATCAAAGAAGCTAGGAGATTTCTTAGAAGCAAGAATTTTGTAACCTTTTCTTTGCTATATAACATTAACAATTGGATCTTTATACTCTTTGGATTTTTCATAAAACGACATGAATATATGTCCTCAATACGAAACATAGTCTATAGAATCCCTTTTTGCTATCTTGTCGGTGCATGTGAACTTAGACTTAAGTCTATAGAATCCTTTCTTGTTCTGACTGAGTCCAAACATTGACGTAATTGTTTGGAAACTGCATATGTGTGAATTTAGATTTTTATGGAGACTTTCATTTACTTCGTTGAAGTTGCTTGTGCCTTTCATTGCTCTTTCCTTCTTATAATACTTTACTAAGAGAGAGTAGTGGGGTATGAGAAGGACTTAATTATAGAGAAACTGGTGAAAAGGAACTTTATTTATTTACAAAAAGCTAAAGTTCTATATCATTAAACATACAAAGTCTCTTTGTTAGTCTTTATTATTAGATCTCTGATCTTAAATCGTCTCTCTATCGTAGCAATGGCTTCTTCTGCTCTTTGGATTCCTTCATCTTCTTCGTCTCAAAACTGGGAGTACGATGTCTTTCCGAGCTTCCACGGGAAAGATGTACGCAAAGCCTTTCTCAGCCACGTTCTCAAGGAGTTTGGAAGAAAAGCAATCAACTTTTTTGTTGATAACGAGATCAAGAGAGGAGAGTTCATCGGTCCTGAACTCAAACGGGCGATCAAAGAATCTAAGATTGCTCTTGTCTTGCTCTCCAAGAATTACGCTTCTTCGTCGTGGTGTCTTGACGAATTGGCGGAGATAATGAAGAAAGAGTCGGGTCAAACGGTGATGACCATTTTCTATGAAGTAGATCCAACTGATGTAAAAAAGCAGACCGGAGATTTTGGAAAGGCCTTCAAAGAAACTTGTCAAGGTAAAACTGAGGAGAAGGTTCAGACATGGAAGGAAGCTTTGAAGGGTGTGGCCACAATCGCAGGTTACCATTCAAGAAACTGGTTAGTGTTCTTGATTTCCACTTTCTTTTAATTCTAACACATCAAACTATACATCTTTGTAGCATTCAAACTGTATGCAGATTCAAGAGGTCGTAACTTTTGAACGTGTATGTTAGTTCTTAGTGATTATTTATTAACAAGATGTATGTATAAATTGTTCTTCGTCTTTGTTAGGGTTGATGATGCAGCCATGATTGAAAACATCGCTGCTGAAATTTCAAACAAGTTTAATCATTTGACACCATCACGTGATTTTGACGGTTTAATTGGGATGGAAGCTCATATGAAAAGGATGGAACAGTATTTACGTCTAGATTTGGATGATGTAAGAATGATTGGGATTTGGGGTCCGGCTGGGATTGGGAAGACCACCATCGTCAGGTTATTGTTTAACCAAGTTTCCAGCCGTTTCCAGAATAGTGCACTCATGGAGGATATCAAAGGAAGCTATCCAAAACCTTGTTTTGATGAGTACAACGCAAAGTTGCAACTACAAAATAAAATGTTGTCTAAGATGATCAACCAGAAAGATATCATGATCCCTCATTTAGGAGTCGCACAAGAACGATTGAGAGATAGGAACGTGTTTCTCGTTCTTGATGATGTGGATCGGTTAGCACAACTAGAAGCTTTGGCCAAAAATGTTCAGTGGTTTGGTCCTAGAAGTCGGATTATCATCACAACAGAAGATCTAAGACTTTTGAAGGCACATGGGATCGACCGTATATACAAGGTTGATTTTCCATCAACGAAAGAGGCTCTTCAAATGTTCTGCATGTATGCTTTTGGTCAAAAGACCCCTGAAGATGGTTTTGATGCACTTGCTCGTGAAATTACATACCTTGTCGGTGAACTTCCTTTAGGACTAAAGGTTATTGGATCCCACTTTCAAAGATTGTCCAAGGAGCAGTGGTCAATGGAAGTATCAAGGTTAAGGACTAACCTTGATGGAGAAATTGAGAGCATTTTGAAGTTCAGTTATGATGCTTTATGTGATGAAGATAAAGATTTATTCCTTCATATAGCTTGCTTTTTCAACAATGAAAATATAAAGAAAGTAGAAGAACTTCTTGCCGAAAAATTCAAGGATTTGAGTCGAGGGCTTTACGTTTTAGTGATGAAATCTCTCATATCTATTGAAGGATATATTCAAGAATATAAGTATATAAAGATGCACAATTTGATGGCCCAACTAGGTAAAGAAATCGTCCGTAAAGAATTTCGTGAGCCTGGGCAACGCCAGTTTTTGGTTGATTATAAAGATATTTGTGAAGTAGTCTCAACAGTAAGTTTTTCCATTATTCTTTCATTGCAGTGCTCATCATAACTTGAGTTTATTTTATCATCTCTACTTATCTTTGGGTCTTTTTTCTCAGATTACTGGAAGTGTTGTAGGCATAGACTCCAATTATGGGTTAAATATAACTGAGAAAGCCTTTGAAGGAATGCCTAATCTCCAGTTCTTAAGAGTCGGATACAATCCTGATCATCCAAACATTAGATCTTCTTCGGGACCTCTGACTTTTATATCTCCAAAGCTACGATTTATAGATTGGTCGTATTTTCCGATGACATCTTTCCCTTTTATTAATAATTTGGAATTCCTAGTCGAATTAAGAATGAATGGCAGCAAACTTGAGAAGCTGTGGGACGGAATCAAAGTAAGTCATTTAAATTTCTTAATTGTTTTAAATTTTAGTTTTGTATGCAGAATATCCTCTCTTGTACATTAAATTTTACTTGCCACTTCGTTTCTAGCATGAAAATATATATATATATTTTTAAGTTTTATGTGTTCCAATTGCTAAGTGTATCAACATAATTGTGTATATTTTGTCTCCATCTTTCTTTACAGCTGCTTAAGAATCTCAAGCGTATGGATTTGTCATATTCCAGAAACCTGAAGGAGCTTCCTAATCTTTCAATGGCCACTAGTCTTGAGGAGTTAGATCTTATGGGATGTTCAAGTCTGGTGGAGCTCCCTTCTTCTATTGGGAATTCAACTAATCTCTTCACATTAGCACTTGATGGATGTTCAAGTCTAGTGGAGCTCCCATTTTCTGTTGGTAATTTAACTAATCTCCAGAAATTATCACTTAGTGGATGCTCAAGGCTTGTATCACTCCCACAACTTCCAGATTCCTTATTGGTCCTATATGCCGAAAATTGTAAGTCCCTAGAGAAACTAGATTGCTCCTTTAGCAATCCAGGTATTCGGCTCAACTTCGTTAACTGCTTCAAATTAAATCAAAAAGCAAGAGATCTCCTCATCCATACATCAACTGTTAGATTGGTGGTCTTACCCGGTAAAGAAGTGCCTGCGTGCTTCACTTACAGAGGTTATGGGAGTTCCGTAACAGTGAAGTTGAATCAAAAGCCTCTTCCTACATCAACCAAATTTAAGGCTTGCATCTTATTTGGTAACGAGGGCAAAGATGGCGCTTATTCTATTGATTGGGACACAACTTGTGTGTATAATAAAGGCGAACATGAGGCTGGGATTCAGGAACGAGGGTCGGTGTCTTGTAGCATCGGAAAGGAACTGAATGGTTTCTCATACAGCTTTCAAATGATAACGGAGCATCTATACATTTTCGAAGTTGAAGTAGAGGAGGTGACTTCCACCGAGCTTGATTTTGATTTCGAGATCATCGATTTCTATTACCGTTCCAGGACTAGGGCGATAAAAGAATGCGGGATAATCCACATCTTGGAACATCATGTTGATGGCGACAAAAAGATGGCGATGAAGATGGAGACAATTGTGAGTGAAAAAACAACTTCTCGAGTCGCATGGTACAGTATAATGTCGCTGGGGATTTGCATTGTGGTCTCTCTGGTTTACAGATTTTGTACTTGAAGCAATACTTTGAAAAGAAGAAGCTTATTTAGATCAGAGTGATCCATGTTGAGGAATACTAGAACCAACACTTTAGATCAGAAGAGAAGCATTGAAGATGGAGATAATTGATATCTGAGACAAACATTGAAACTCAAGTCAAACAGAGAAGCCACAAGACAAAATTGCAAGGAAGATTGTGAGTGAAAAAACAAATTCTCGAGTCGCATGGTACAGTATAATGTCGCTGGGGATTTGCATTGTGGTCTCTCTGGTAAGTTTGCATTTTCACAACTCAAGACCTTACTTTGTTGATAAACTTTGCATAACAACAGTTTCATGAAATGTCTAAATGAGCTTTTTAAGTTTTAAGTGACAATAGCTTAAGAACTGCAATCTCTTAATGATTTTTGAATTCAATCGTGTAGGGTTTAGAGCTGGAGCTTAAGAAACTCTTGAAGGTGAAGTTGAAACAGGTACAAAACTATATACATTCTTTGATTTATGTGTTTTGTTTGTCTTCTCAATTCATGACAATACATATATAAAATGTTTGTGATATTTAGATGTTCAGTAAATTTCTTTTGGATCTGATTAAATTGTTGCTCTAGGCACAAGTAAAGTCGTTTCTATATGCATTTGTCAAGTGAATTGTGTCTTTTACTCTTTTATGATATGGCTTGAGCCACATGTTCCTCTCTGTTTCTGATTTGAATAATCAGTTTTTCCTGATTCAGTATTACTTAATTCTATTCCTGAAATATAGTTTTACTGAATGTATAACGATTGCTCGTAGCTTTGTGAAACGGGTTTGAATCTGTTTTTGTAACGTCAAAGCGAGAACATATCAAAGTTAAAATGGTTATGAGTCTTTTAGAGTATGTTTTGTGGCTTCAGCTTCTCGTTTATGTCTCAGAATGACTGACGACATGCTATTTTATTCTATATGAAACGACTTTATAGCATACCCGGTGGTATGTTGTTTGCCTCAACTTCTGCAAAAGAACATATTCGTAAGTCTGTTATAATAACAGAGTAGTTACTCTGTTTTGTTTGTTTGTTTGCGTTTCTTCTTCATAGCATCTTATTCTTCCTCTCATCTATTCTGTTGTAATCAAAGAGAGATAGTAACATGGAAGATAAAATAATGTTGATGAACATTTTAAGCAGGTTCAAATATGGCTTGTCGTCTGTTTAGGAAGATTTGATCGAAGAGTAACAATGCTTGGAACAGACGAATAGGTATGACCTCAAGTTCTCTATTTGCTAGAAAAGTTGTATTTTTGTTGACTTTCTATTAAAATGGTTATGTCTTTCTCATCTTCTCATCTATATCCCCCTCTCCTATGCTTTATTACTTAGATGGTAGCCATTGACTTTTGTGGCTACTATATAGCTTGATAGATTGTTGATGTAGAACTTCACTCACATGTGTTTATACGTCAAACATATTTCTAGTAAGTTCACTTTTGTGAGCGTTTTACGTCAACAGCTTGGTCTGATAAGGAAGTGTTATAAAAGAGTTAATATGTTTGGTCTCATATCATATTAATAAATTCATTGACTCTCCATGTTATGAAGACGTGCATCAACTCCTTGATGAGGAAAATGACCACAAGTTTTTATGTTTTATTGCAGGTCACAGCACCTTATGGTAGCGTTTTGCACCACAAGGAAAATACAACAAACGGTCAGTTTGCATTTACAACCCAAGAATCAGGAACTTACTTGGTTTGTTTTGAGGCCGATGCCAAAAGTCATGGTAACAAAGATTTTAGCATCAACATCGACTGGAAAACTGGAATCGCAGCCAAAGATTGGGACTCCATTGCTAAAAAAGAGAAGACCGAAGTCAGCTCTCCATTCTCCATAATAATCGTTAAAGTACTAGAACCAACACTTTTCTCTACTTTCTTTCTCTTGATGCTCTCTTTGGAACAGTTAGTGTAAAATTAAGTTCACTCATTTAACTTGTAATTTGTCTCCTATTACGTATAATTTATTACTAGACTCTAATTATAGGAATCCAAACTAAATTTCTCTTGATAAAATATGAACTTCTGTTGTTCCTCGTTTGTAACAAATTGCAAACTATGAACATTCGACAGAGTTGTGACTTGAGAAAAACAGAGGACTCTATTGGTATGAAGTCTCATAGTATAAACAGAGGACTCTGTTTCACACAGAGTTACGAAAAAATCTGAAGAAATCAAACCTTTTGTACACGAATTTTAAAACACTAAAGAAGCAAGAATTTTGTAACCTTTTCTTAGCTACATAACATTAACATTGGATCTTTATACTCTTTGGATTTTTCATAAAACGACATGAATATATGTCCTCAATACGAAACATAGCCTGATGCATTATCTCGTCGGCGCATGTGAACTTAGATTTAAGTCTATAGAATCCGTTTTTGCTATTAACAAATCCAAAACCCTCTTAGAAATATGATTCAACAAATCCAAAATCAACTAGGAAATATCCATAAGCAATAGAAACTTTCCAAGGAATGACTTATCTGCATAGCCAAATGTTAGAATTCAGTAATATGAATCAAACAGACCAAATGATCATTTATGAGATTGTTTGGTATGAACCTTACTTTTCCTTAGAATAACATTTATTTTCTTTAGAAGTGTCTCTAAAGTGATTAGCTGTTAAAGAGTAAATAGCTACAAATTCCGTTAATAGTGGAGGGACAATGATTACTCTCATAAACCTTTATGTTCACATAAATTTCTTTATAAAGATTAATTGATGGTTATGATTCTTTTAGAGACTGTTGTGTGGATTTCAGCTTCTCGTTTATGTCGTCTGTATGACTAAGAACTGTTACAATTGTTTGTCAAACATGTAATAAACTTGAAGTTGAAGATCTAATTTACCTACTTAAGAAACAGGTACAAAACTTATGCATTCTTTGATTTATGTGTTTTGTTTGTCTTCTCCATTCATGGCAACACATATAAAAATTGTTTGTGATATTTAGATTTTCGTTAAAAATTCTTTTGGACAAATATGCATTTGCCAAGTGAATTGTGTCTTTTACGATATGGCAAAAGAGAAATCACACAACTATATGTCGAATTCAACCAAATGGAGATTTAGACAAAGCTCTTCTCATATTTCATGCTCATGGCACATTACACTAGAGATCACATCCACACAAGCTTTATAAGACGAAAAAGGACTAAATTTTTGTTATAACGCCTACCAAAACTTGATTCAAGCAAGAAGTCCAAAAAAATTCCATTTCCCTGAACATAAAATAATAATTTAGATGAAATGTGATTAAACATATCAATAAGTGATCAAGAATGAAATGTGATTAAGAATGAAATCAATAAAAAGAAAGACAAATACCTTGCGCATTAGCAGCAGGAGGACTAGCAGGAGACACTGCAACCAAAACAAAACAAAAAATCTCTATTAATGAGATAATCATATAACTAGAGAAGAAATTAAACCATAATCTGATTTATCTTACGGATCATAATCCATAAAAAAATCAAGAAGAAAAACAGAGAGATGAAGGAGAAATCTAACATGCACCACAAGCTGCCACCGGAGGAGCATAAACTTTACAAGCATCGGGAAGAGTAGTAGCCTTAGTAACGTTAAGTTTGACTCCGTAAGAGGCACTGTTCTTCAGCCCTTCGCATAGACATTCCGGTTTCGTATCTAGAATATTCTTCAGACTGGAGCAGCACGAACTTGAGGGTGTATCCACCGTACTCCCGATCGTTATAAAAGATACACATGGTAACAGGGTAACAACAAGGGAGGTGCACTCGTCGGCTGGTATAATGTTTCCATGAACATAAGGAGAGGAAACAGAGAGGACGAGGAGGAGAAGAGATGTCGCGGCGGGGAAGAAAGCCATTGTTTTGATTCTCTGTTTTGGTTACTGCTTAAGAATCTAGAGAGGAGAAAATGAGAATTGTGTGGTAGAATGAGTGAAATGTGTTGTGTTTAAATATGGGTTTAAGTTATAAAGACGACGTCGTTTTGGTGTACACGTCATGTGTAACTTGTAATTTTTTGGTTCATTCAGTGTAAGATTCTGCTCATTTTTTTTGGGATTTTATCCTATATTAAGAGCTTTTTATCATCGAAATTAACGTTGTTACCAAAATGATTAGATTTGTTAGAAGAAAACAAAAAAAAGTAGAAAAATAAAAATGTAATTTCTTAAAACGCTTTTCTTAAAGTAGAAAGATTTGTATTCAAACTTTGCTTTGCTGTATGTACTACTTATTTTGTTTTTTCCTGCTGTAATCTTCTGTCAAAATCTATAAATGGTATAAAACTTAACATTTATACCAAAAAAACAAAAGTTTATATGCTAAGATTTTCTTTTTAACTAACTTGGTTTATATGTTTAAAGACTAATTAATTAAATATAGTAAACAAGTTTTATCATTTTGCATACAATTATTCAGTGGGTCAGTTTCTCATTGTATCGAAGATAAGAGATTGGTTCGGTTTGCACAAAAAAATTGGAGATTGGTTCAAACTTCAAATGTTGAACCCTGCGTGTTGTTGTTATTGAATTTTAAACAATTAAAACTCTTTTTTTTTGTTTCTTTATCAATGTCAAAACTATGAGTTCTTTCGGATAAAAGAATGAAAACAAAATTAATATAACAAAAATAGTTAAAGAATATCAAATATTTTCGATCTCTTTCAAAATTTGAATAATCAGTTTTTCCTGATTCCGTATTTGACGTAGCGGAAGCTTTTAGGGATAGATTACGAAAGTAATCTTGAGTATCAATGGATCTCAAGCAGAACAATCGTAGCTCGGAATTCTATTGTTATCGGAGATCAATGGATTCACGATGAACAAAGACTTCAAAGACTTCGTTTGAGAATACTCTTCTCAGTGCTTATCAAAAGCTCTTTAATTTTATTAATCAAAAACAACCATCGAATACAAGAAGCCTAAGAAGGCTATTTAGGCCATCCACAATGGGAGAACTATAAGCATGGTCTTAGAATAAAAAAATTACAAAATAATAAAAAGAGGAGAGAACAGTTGAGAAACAGATCCTCGGCCAGATTTGTTCTTAAAACGATCTTAGAGACAGGTGTCTAATTCTGATTGGGTTCCAATTTGGCAAAGGAAAAAAAGCCCCATTTCTCTTCTTCTTCCTCCTCCGAAATCTTCAATTTCACGGCAACAAGTGTCTAATCAAGTTTTTAACAAAAAATCTTAACTACTGATCTTACATTTTTTTAACCATATTTTTACTCTAAGAACACCCAAAGGTGATCCCCCATTGAGGATGCCCTAAGAACACCCAAAGGTGATCCCCCATTGAGGATGCCCTTATAATAAAAGCTCAAAACCCTGAAAACCTAGAATATTCTAGAACAATAATTATTAATTAATTAAAATATGATAATAACAGATATTTGGAATATTTCCAAATATCTCGCTGCATCAGTATTACTTAATTCTATTGCTGAAATATAGTTTTACTGAATGTATAACGATTGTTCGTAACTTTGTGAAATGCGTTTGAATATGTTTGTATGACGTCAAAGCGAGAACATAGCAAAAAGTTAGAATGGTTATGAGTCTTTTAGAGTATGTTGTGTGGCTTCAGCTTCTCGTTTATGTTCTCGTATGACTGAGGTCTGAGGACATGCTATTTTATTTTATATGAAATGACTTTTTTTTTTATGAACTATTACAACCTGTGGAGGTCTTTTCTCTTTTCTTTTTTTTTCTATGTCAGTTTAATAACCAAATTGAATTTCCTGAGAAGAAGTTTCAATAGCCATTCCCGCTTCATTGATCATTTATGAGATTGTTTTGTTTTTAGAATCTTACTAATGATCAATGTTTTAAGATTCTTGGGAAAGCTATTATACAATTTTTTTTTTTTGGAATGAATGTTGAATTTATTCACCAAAAAAACCGATATTACAACAAGTGCAACTGTTTGGAGTAGTGTTTGACATAAGAGTAGAAGGGGTTTACAAGTTATCTCCTAGTAGAAAGCCAAAAAAAGAATAAATCACCATATTTTGCATTCCCGGAAGATGGGAATGTTCGTGTTGATGGTTTTCCAAGGCTTGATGTTGTTTGAGGTTCTTTACCATGTCTTTTGTTATTTCTCTCCCTCCATATGGTATGGACTGCAATTTGAAACGTGTATCGCAGAAGTAAAAGAGCCTTGTTTTCGGTTGTCTCATCTGTTATGAGCAAAATGATTTGATCCCAATCCAAGGTGTAAGTATCTTGAAGTATCCCTTTTACTAACTCCTCCCATATTTGTCTTGTATACGGGCATTGAAAGAAGAGGTGGTCTCTAGTCTCAACCGATTCCTGACAAAACTGTTGGTGTTTATTTTATATAAACATGTTTATTTACATAAACATTTGTATTTATGTAAATACCCTTCTACTTGTGCAAATTTCATCACGTCTTTTGGTTACGTTTATACCGATACACCGGTTGAGAGAAGAGAAGCATCTCTTGGATCAAACATCGCTTCATTAATATATAAGAGACGTGACGATGTAGAGAGAAGAAAACAGAGAGACAAGAGAGAAGAACAATACAAGAGAAACAAAGGAGAGAAAGATTGGGATTGATTCTCATCTTCTTCTTCTCCAAATCAATTTCAGAGAATCTCAAAGTAGAGTTTGCTAGGGTCTCTGTACGGTGTTAAAACAGAGATCGATAGTTGTATCCTAAAGATAGAAGCCTACACAAAGCTACGTACACCACAGTAGGGGCTAAATTCTGTCTTAGGAGATTGCCAATTGCAAGCCTCTATCAATCAATACGTTGTTCTTACTAAAAGAGAGAAGAGATCGTAAAGTAAGTTTCAGTTCTGTAACAATTGGTTTTCCTATTTGTTACTTATTCTATAACGTGAACGTATTTGTTTATGTGTATTGATCTGCATCTATAATCATCGATCAACAATCTAAGACAGAATTTATATTGTTGTTTTGAAATTGATAGATGGATCAATCTGCTGGGAATGTGAAAAATCACATTGAGAAGCCTTTTGTTTTCAAAGGAGTGGATTTCAAAAGATGGCAGCAAAAGATGATGTTCTATCTCACAACTTTGAATCTGGCACAATACTTGACTTCCGATGCACCGGAATTACCTGTTGAAGGAGACATTTCGGATGAAGTCATCAAAGCATCAGAGACATGGTCACAGAATGAGTTTTTGTGCAAAAACTACATTCTTAATGCCTTGGATGATTCTCTCTATGATGTTTATCAGATTTTCCAAACTCCAAAACAGTTGTGGGAATCATTAGAGAAGAAATACAAGTCTGAAGTTGCAAGTGCCAAGAAATTCATTGTGGGAAAATTCTTGAATTTCAAGATGAGTGACACCATCTCTGTGGTGAAACAAGTGGAAGAAATTCAGATTTTTGCTCATGAATTGAAAGATGAAGGTATGGGGCTGAATGAGGCGTTTCTTGTTGCGTCCATCATCGAAAAGTTGCCTCCAACGTGGAAAGATTTCAAGATCTATCTAAAGCACCTACATGAAGACATGAGTTTCGAACAACTAATTCTCAAGCTTCGTGTTGAAGAAGAGAATCGTGAGAATGAGAAATCTGAGTTTTCTTCTATGGAAGCAAAGGCCAATGTAATTGAGGGAAACAACTTCAAATCCAAGGGCTTTAAGAAGAACAAGAACGGTAAGAAACCGTTCATTCCACCAAAGGGCTCTAACTTCAAGAGGAAGCCACAAGGTGCTTGTTGGGTGTGTGGAAAGCCTGGACATAGAGCCAAGGACTGCCGCCATAAGAAAGAAGGGACATCGGTTCGAGACGCAAGTAACGCAAACCTTGTCGAAAATCAGTTTGTTGCGGTCGTTTCCGAGGCAAACATGATGACAAACTCCAATGATTGGTGGGTTGACACTGGTGCTACAAAGCATGTGTGCTCCGACGTGAGTATGTTCTCCACGTATGAACAAGGTTCTGCTGGAGAAAAACTTTACATGGGAAACGCGAGCACCGCGACGATCGCAGGGAAAGGCAAAGTGGTTTTAAAACTCACATCTGGGAAGGAACTTGCACTCACAAACGTGCTCCATGTTCCTGAGATTCGAAAGAATCTGATTTCGGGGTCACTTCTTAGCAACAAAGGCTTTAAGATTGTATTTGAATCTGATAAGGTTGTACTCACTAAAGGTGGGATGTATGTAGGAAAAGGCTACTTGTGTGATGGTCTTTTCAAACTGAATGTTGTACCGATCGTTAATGAAAACGCAGGCAATAGCACTGCTTCTGTTTATTTGCTTGACTCAAATGATTTATGGCATGCAAGAATGGGACATGTCAATTATCATTCTTTATATCGAATGATGAATTTAGGATTGTTACCAAAGAACAATCTTAATAATAATAAAAGAAGCAAATGTGAAGTTTGTGTGGAATCAAAATATTCACGACATTCTTATAAATCTGTGGAAAAGTCAAATGTATTACTTGGTTTAATACATAGTGACTTATGTGATTTTCAATCAACTCCAAGCCGTGGAGGAAAAAATTATTATATATCTTTTATTGATGATTTCAGCAAGTATTGTCAAATCTATTTGATTAATACTAAAGATGAGGCTTTGAATATGTTTAAGAAATTCAAAGCAGAAGTTGAAAATCAATTAGATAAGAGAATAAAAATTCTCCGATCAGATCGTGGTGGAGAATACAAATCAAATGAATTCTCAGATTTTTGTTCCACACATGGAATCATTCATCAAACTACGGCACCTTACACTCCGATGCAGAACGGAGTTGCCGAAAGGAAAAATAGAACACTTAAAGAGATGATGAATTCTATGTTAAACGATTCGGGTGCACCACCTAACCTATGGGGTGAAGCCATTCTCACGGCTAATTCAATTTTGAATAAGATTCCTCACAAGAAGAGTGATAAA